TGTTGACCAAGATGGTCTCGATCTCTTGACCTCATGATCCACCCGCCTCGGCCTCCCAAAGTGCTGGGATTACAGGCTTGAGCCACCGCGCCCGGCCCTCATTTACTTATTTTCAAGATGGAGTCCTGCTCTGTCATCCAGGCTGAAGTGCAGTGACACAATCTCAGCTCATTGCAATCTCTGCCTCCCCATTTCAGGCAATTCTCCTCCCTCAGCCTCCCGAGTAGCTGGGTTTATAGGTGCCTGCCACCATGCCCATCTAATTTTTGTATTTTTAGTAGAGATGGGATTTTGCCATGTTGGCCAGGCTGGTCTTGAACTCCTGGCTCTGTGATCCACCCTCTTCAGCCTCCCAAAGTGCTGGTATTACAGGTGTGAGCCACCACGCCCGGTCTCGAACTGATTTTTTTTAATACAAGAGATACGACAGTTGTAGAGGAGAAGTTCAAGGAAGCTCTTTCTTACTGTCCATTCTCACCTACTCCTCACTTGCCTGCTCACTGAATCTTGGCATTCTCAGGCCTTGGCCCTAGACCTTTTTTCTTCACCCTCTGCACTCTCTTCCTTGGTCTATTTAAAATTCCCATGACTGATACCAATGACTCAAACTTAGGTCTCCAGCAAGCCTCTGTCTCTTAAGTTCTAGCTCTGAAGGTCCAGCTGCCTACTCAGCACCTCAACTTGGAAGTGTTTCCCAAATCCAAACTATACCTACAGTCATCCCCAAGCCTGCTCCTCCTCCAAGGCACCACCTCAGAAAATGGGGCAACTCTCCACCTAGCTGCATGATCAGAATCCAACTCCTCCCTCCTTCTCACTGCAAACCAAAAAGGTTCGGAGACAGGCAGGTCTCAATCAATTTAGAAGTTTATCATGCCAAGGTTAAGAACGCATGCCCAGGAAACAGGTCTGTGCCTTTCTCCAAAGATGCCTTTGAGGGCTTCAATATTTAAAGGGGAAAGGGTAGATATTGGAGAAAGAGGAAGAAATTTTTTAAACGTATGGGTAAGCCAGGAATGGTGGCTGATGCCTATATTCCCAGTACAGCACTTTGGGAGGCCAAGATGAGTGGATGGCTTGATCCAAGCAGGGAGCTTGAGACAAGCCTGGGCAACATGGTGAAACCCTGTGTCTACAAAAAATAAATCAAAGATGTGGGTAGATAAGAGCCAAGCAGGTGCATTCTTTTGAGTTTTTGATCAGCTGTTCAACCTGATGGAAAGGTAGAAGAATAGTCACTTACGCATTCATCTAGCTGAGTGAATCTGCATTTTTACATAAGATAAGATAAACATAGGGCAGAGGGAACAATCAGATATGCATTTGTATCAGGTGAGCAGAGGGATGACTGAGTTCTGTCCTTGTCTTGCACCTGTGAAGATAAGCTGTCATTTCACATTTTCAGGGTGAAATTCAACAGAACTGTTTTAAGGTAAAGCTCATGGGGCCTACAAATAAGCTCCTAATAGGAAAATTGTGAGGAAGGTATGTAGCTTTAAAAATCTTTGAGTGACAAAAAAAAAAAAAAAAATCTTTGAGTAAGGCCGGGCACTGTGGCTTATGCCTGTAATTCCAGCACTTTGGGAGGCTGAGGCGGGAGGATCATCTGAGGTCAGGAGTTTGAGACCAGCCTGGCCAACATGGTGAAACCCCATCTTTACTAAAAATACAAAAATTAGCCAGGCATTGTGGCACATACCTGTGATCCCAGTTACTTGAGAGGCTGAGGCAGGAGAATCACTTGAACCTGGGAGGTGGAAGTTGCAGTGAGCTGAGATCACACCACTGCACTCCAGCCTGGGCGATGCAGCAAGACTCCGTCTCAAAAAGAAAAAGAAAAAGAAACAAAATGAAATCTTTGAGAGACAGATTTGCTTTATATAGTTCCCAGCTTGACTCTTCCCTTTGGCTTAGTGATTTTGGGGTCCCAAGATTTATTTTCCTTTCACATGACACATCACAAAATTCCCAGTTACTACAGCCAGCCTCCTCAATAGCTCACTCTTCTCCACCCCCACTCTGTGCAGTTCCCACCTCCAAGCTAGGCTAGCCCATCTCACCTACACACCTGCCATCACCTCTCTCCCTGTTGGACTGTCCTTCCCACCACTTCTCCACAAGGCAACAAAATCCATCCTGCTGCTGTCACATCACTGCTTAGAACCCTTCAACCCTTTCTCAAAGTCCAAAATATCTTACAAGACCTGGCAGTCTACTGTGACCCTCACTCCTGCCTCCTTCACTCTTCACAACAATTCGAAATAATCTAATACACAACACTTAAACAGTACTCAGCATGTCTGTTTGGTTCCTGAAATACTTAATGAGAAGAAAAGACGAGGATTCGGACTCTGAGGATTGGGGTTCCAGTCCAGGCTCTCTTCTCCTGCTACTTTATCCATTGAAGCGTTTTATCCCTGTACTGATGGTAATTATTTCCCCCCTCACCTCATCCCTACCGGTGGGGGTAATTTTAAATTTTAATGAGTCTTTTTGTGAGAATTAAAGACATCATGCATGTGAAAACATTTCTTCTCCATGTCGATGACATGCATATAGCTACTAAATACGACTGGGAGATCGTAGATTTCTTGAGAAGTATTTCAGTCCCAAAGCTACATGTTATTTCTTTGGTAGAATTTAATCCTAAATCTCATCGGGGCTGATTTATAAAACATCTCCTAGAGGAAATTACCTAAGCAGATAGCTAGGTCTTTTGGATGCCTCTGACTGTAGACTTATGTGTGAGCTGTAATAACTATCCACGTAAAACTGGGGGGTCGTGCTTTTGCTTTTCTTTCTTTCAGATGGCTTGGTTGGGCGAGATTCCTGCATTACCAGTTTTTGGCGACGGAACAAATGTAATTCCAGCAATCCATGTTCTTGATCTAGCAGGGTGAGCATTCTCCCAGAGACATGACCTTCACAGACTTGGTTAGTGTGTGTGTTTGTAAGGCTAATACAGTTTGAGCACTTGCTAAGTGCTAAGACCCTTATGTGCATTACTGCATTCACTCTTCATAACAACTCTTTGCAGAAGGTACCATCTTCTCCATTTTTCATCCAATGAAATAGTGCCCACTCTTCACAAGGTCTACATTTCTGATGACAAGTTCAGGTTCATCTCTTAGAAACTATCAGCAGAATAGCAACGCCCTCCAATTTTGGAAAAGAAAGAACTTGCTATGTACATTCTGAGGACATAGTTTCTTATTCCTTTGTCCCAGATGAGATTAATATGTCTAACCCACCAACTCAAATTCTAGAATTCAGATGACAAACTGTAAACCTGAAGCTTTTTTTTTCCTTTGACAGTTGTAGGTAAAGTTGACACTTTTTTTTAATACTCAGAAAGCGTCTAAACCCCGTATTCAGACAGGTCCAGAAAGCCTTCTTCTCCTTTGAAGACCCTGACTTAAATGTGAGGTCAGAAGCTGGTTCACTGTGTTTGTGGTTCATCAGCTCCACATTCCAGCTTCCAGGGACTTCATTCTGTCACCCCTGTGGCACATCCCCAGAAGGGAGCAATTTCTGCACCTCCCTGAGGTTCTAGTTTTCAGATTCCCACTCTTTCCCTCATCCACTGGCCATGAGAAAATTAGTCACAATCTCAGACAAATTTATAGATTTACAGGGAAATGAAGGAAGTGTAAACTTCAGGGACACATCCCTGAGCAGACCCCTTTCCAAGACCCTGAACCTAATTTTCAGTATTTTCCTTAAAGAACGCTCCTGTAAGCCAGAGATATTCAATCCTTTGGCTTCCCTGGGTAACACTGGAAGAATTGTCTTGGGTCACACATCAAATATACTAACACTAACGATAGCTGTTGAGCTTTAAAAAAAAAATTGCAAAAAAAGTCATAAGGTTTTAAAGTTTACAAAGTATGTTGGGCCGAACTCAAAGCCATCCTAGGCCTCATGTGGCCCACAGGCCGCAGGTTTGACAAGCTTGCTATAAATGGGCTAAGCTTCAGGCACTACAGAACCCTGGATCTGCTCTATCCCTGGGGATGGAGGGGCCGGAACATACCCATTTTTTTTCTGCAGAGATTTTACATTATGACATTACTGGGTTTCAAAGATATAGAAGAGTCTTTTACATTATTAAAATAACTTCCTTAGCATTAGTTCTTAGCAGATTACTTTCAAATATAAATTAGAGGGTGAAATTATTCCCATTACAGAAGGATTTGGGGCCTGTTAAAAACAAATTATAGGTGGCCACTGTTTTTGACTAGGCTCTTGTACTGGGCCCCAACAGACTGGAATGAAATCAAAATGGAGTCACCGATGCTAACGTTCCAGTCACCAAACTGAAACTAAGCTGCTATGTGACCTTTTGAGAAAGCAAAGGGAGCAATAACAGCTAATTTTTCAAACAAGCCAGTTTCAATCTTCAATAGGCATAATAATAAAGCTCTCTGTGTTTTAATCCTTATGACAAAAAGTAGCCTGAAGTAACCTGGTGGTAACCCATCAGTTATCTTTCCTTTCCTTTTTTTTTTTGAGATGGAGTCTCACTCTGTTGCCCAGGCTGGAGTACAATGGCATGATCTCAGCTCACTGTCACCTCTGTCTCCTGGGTTCAAGAGAGTCTCCTGCCTCAGCCTCCCAAGTATCTGGGATTACAGGTGCCTGCCACCACGCCCAGCTAATGTTTCTGTTTTCGGTAGAGACGGGGTTTTACCATGTTGGCCAAGCAAGTCTCAAACTCCTGACCTCAGGTGATCCATCCACTTGGCCTCCAAAAGTGCTGGGATTACAGGTATGCGCTACTATGCGGGGCCACATTAGTTATTTTTCTGCTCTCCCTGTCCGTCTTTACAAGGAAAGTAACTTTGAAATGAGCGATGTGCTTTTCGTTCTTTGTTTCTGCTACTGCAGCCCTTTCTGCCACCTCTATCAAACCACCCGCCTCTGCTCATTTTACTGGCATATTTGTTCTCTTTTATGGAATGAAGTGTTGCCTGATTCTAGAATCACAAATAAAGCCAACTGAAATCTTTAAGTAGATTTGTTACCATTTTGTCTTTTGACAGACCCCTTTAAGTAGCAATTTTTCCCCAGAGGTTTCTTTGAAGATTGTCAAATATTTAACCAAGGAAGAAGCAAAAAGCTGAAATGTTCTGAGAAATTGATACAAAATAGGCTGGGTGCAGTGGCTCACGCTGGTAATCCCAGCACTTTTGGAGGCCAAGTGGATGGATCGCCTGAGCCCAGGAGTTCAGGACCAGCTGGACAACACAATGAAACTCTCGTCTCTACAAAAAATACGAAAATCAGCCGGGTTTGGTGGCTCGTTCCTGTAGTCCCAGCTACTTACTCGGGAGGTGGAGGCAGGAGGATCACTTGAGCCTGGGAGGCTGAGGCTGCAGTGAGCCATGATTGCACCACTGCCTGCTAGCATGGGTGACAGAGTGAGACTCAAAATAAATAAATAAACATAGAAAAAACAGAAGTGAATACAAAATAAATGTGAAATGCACATTTGGAAGCATGCATCCAATTTATTTTCATCTTACTGAAAGGAAGCTAAGATGGAGGTAGAATTGACAAGTCATTGTGGTAGACTTCTATTCAGTATTGTTTCTCTCTGTAATTCTGTAAGTTTTGTTCCAATCCCTGCTCTGCCTCTCACTAGCTGTGTGAATTTGGGAAAGTTAGTTATGGGGATAGGAGCAGTACTTCCATGCTAGGCTGTGAGAATTCAGTGGAATCACACCTGTGCCACCCTCAGCACAGAGGCAAGCACTCAGAAACCTTGGCAACTCAGAAAAGGAAAGCAGGCTCAGTCACTGTTGCTACGTGACTTCTTTAAAAGAGCCACAGCATGTCTAAATCTGTGTCTTGCTTTGTAAAACACCTCCATAAAGCACTGTTGTGAGGCTCAAATGAGCCACTGGATGGGGAGGGCTTCATAAACTGAAGTCCTGCTGCGGTCAAGTCCCCTCGTTGGGAGACAGGCGAGTACACTAGAAAGAAGACAGGTCGGAACCAGATGGATCTGACCTCAAAGGCTGGCTCTTCCACTTTCACAATAGCTCTTCAGCCTGAGAATGTCACCAGACCCTTTGGCATCTTCCTCATCTGGAGAATACAGATAACCAGCTCAACTCTGACCTTATCGAACACAGAGATGACTTATCAGAGCACCAAATCCTATGCCCAGCCATGCGGGTGGTAGTCAGTGAATTCTAGTTTACTGCATCTATTTCGCCTTCTCCCTCTGATGATTATTTTACCTGTGGGTCTGCAGAGTGATCCAAAATGTCATAGATCACGCGCCAAAGCCTCGCTACCTGGTTGCTGTGGATGAGTCTGTTCATACCCTGGAAGACTTAGTCAAGGTACGGTAGGTTATCCCATATTTTGATGATGCTTCTTAGTTTTGCCCCCTGGAGTGTAGTTATACAATCAGCTATGCTAACACAACTGGGACTCCAAAGTAGAATCTCCATAAAACCCAAACTCACTATCTGCATTTGCAGTATATGCTTTAAGGTTACTACCAAAACAGCCTTTCTCTTTTATATGCACAGAGGGAAACGAGAAAGTCCACTGCAGGGCTCAATGTTAAGAAGACGGTCATCATTGCCCTCCAGACACACACACAGATGACACACCAGAATACTAAAATCTGCCGGTAGGCCCTTGCCCCAAAGTATTGATGTGGTCAGGTTCACCAACCTGCTGGCCAATCCCAGGAGCTCTATTTTTAATATTATGTATTGGTTTATGTATTTATTTTTTTGATGTAGCGTCTCACTCTGTCACCCAGGCTGGAGTGCCATGGTGTGATCATAGCTCACTGTAACCTCAAACTCCTGGGTTCAAATTACCCTCCTGCCTCCGCTTCTGAAAGTCAGGTCACCGTCAGAGGTGTGAGCTGTCGTGCCCAGCCTCAGGAGTCTAGATCTGCGAGAGCTTCCTCTTCCAGTCCAGGCTGCTCAGCTAAAGCAGCTACCATGTGGCCCAGCTAGTGCAGCCTTCTCCTGCGCTTCTCCTGGCTACTCCCTATTCATTTTTAAGATTCAGCCCAAGCCTGGGCAACATGGTGAAACCCCATCTCTACAAAAAAAAAAAAAAAAAAGATACAAAAATCAGCCAGGCATGATGTGCCTGTAGTCCCAGCTACTCAGGAGGCTGAGGTGGGAGGATCACTTGAGCCCAGGAAGCAGAGGTTGCAGTAAGCCAAGATTATGCCACTACACACTAGCCTGGGTGACAGGGCAACACCCTGTCAAAAAAAAGAAAAAAAATGTAGTTCATCTATCTTCCTGTGCACCCTTCCTGCCTCCTTCCCACGTCCTGCACAGGACAGGTGTCCCTCTTCATCCCAGAATGTCTTGGTCTGTTTGAACTGCTGTAACAAAATACTATAAACTGAGTAGCTTATAAACAGAAGACATTTATTGTTCATAGCTCCGGAGGCTGGGCGCAAGATCAAGGCAGATTCAGCCGGGCATGGTGGCTCACACCTGTCATTCCAGCACTATAGGAGGCTCAGGTGGAAGAATCACTTGAGGCCAGGAGTCTGAGCCGAGCATGGAGCATAGTGAGACCCCCTCTCTACAAAAGCATTTTAAAAATCAGCCAGGCTTGGTGGAGCACATCTATAGTCCTTTCTACTTGAGAGGCTAAGGTTCAAGGATTGTGTGAACCCAGGAATTCAAGGCTGCAGTGAGCTATAAGTGCACCACTGCACTCCAGCCTGGGCAATAGAGCAAGATCCTCTCTCAAAAAAAAAAAAAAAAAAAAAAAACCAGCATGGCTGGCAAGGTGGCTCATGCCTGTAATCCCAGCACTTCGGGAGGCCGAGGTGGGTGGATCACTTGAGGTCAGAAGTTTGAGACCAGCCTGGCCACCATGGTGAAACCCTATCTCTACTAAAAATACAAAAATTAGCCAGGCGTGGTGCTGCATGTCTGTAATCCCAGCTACTCAGGAGGCTGCGGCAGAATTGCTTGAAACCAGGAGGCAGAGGTTTCAGTGAGCCAAGATTGTGCCATTGCACTCCAGCCTGGGTGACAGAGCAAGACCCTGTCTGAAAAAGAAAAAATCATTGTGGAAAAAAAACCCCGGCAGATTCAGTGTCTGACGAGGGCCTGCTTTTTGGCTTCATAGATGTTGCCTTCTCCCTGTGTCCTCACATGGTGGGGGTGAGGGGGGCGAAGGCACTCTCTGGGGCCCTTTTGTAAGACACTAATTTCATTCTTGAGGCCTCTATCCTCATAACCCACTCTCCTCCCAAAGGCCCCACCTCCTGATACCATCACCTTAAGGGTGAAGATCTCAACATGTGAATTTTGTGGGACACAGACATTCAGGCTACAGCACAGAATCTCCTTTGCTGAGCTGCAAACACTCCACATGATAATTATCTGTGTACAGTTCTGTCTTCCTTTTCACACCGGGAGCTCTTGAGGGCAGATCCCTGGCCATGCTCATCTTTATCTCCACTACCTGGCACTAACGCTACTTTTAAAAATTCAATTATGCTCACATTCACTTGAGGTTTTTGTTTGTCTGTTTTCTGAGACGGAGTCTTGTTCTATCACCCAGGCTGGAGTGCAGTGGCCCCATCTCGACTCACTGCAACCTCCGCCTCCCAGGTTCAAACATTTCCTGTGTATCAGCCTCCTGTGTAGCTGGGACTACATGCATGCGCCACCACGCCTGGCCAACTTTGATATTTTTAGTGGAGACAGGGTTTCACCACATTGGCCAGGCTGGTCTCAAACTCCTGATCTGAGGTGATCCACCCGCCTCGGCCTTCCAAAGTGCTGGGATTACAGGCATGAGCCACTGCGCCCAACCCATTTGAGTTTCATATAAAGTAAAATCTTCCAGGTAAACCAAATAATATTTCAATTTTCCTCTAACAGTGTATCAGTAAAAATACTGGCCCTGGGAAAATCCAGAAAATACCCAGAGAAAATGCATACCTAACCAAGGACTTAACGGTTAGTATATGTGGTGTCTTTTTTTTCTTCCTCGATAATATTGATTATTATTATTTTTTTAATATCAGATAGGTTTTGGCTAAATAACATTGGTTCTTGAGGGATTTGGAGTCAGAGGCCTGGGTTCCAATGCTGTTGTCAACTCCTACCCCACCACCAGATGTTCTACCCTAAAGCAACTTACTCTTCTCTTCAGCTGTCCTTCCTGAAAAACACTCAGAGGTCGTGGTCAGAAAATGTATTTAGGCCAGGCATGGTAGCTCACGCCTATAATGCCAGCACTTTGGGAGGCCGAGGAGGGTGGATCACCTGAGGTCAGGAGTTTGAGACCAGCCTGATCAGACAGGTGAAACCCTGTCTCTACTAAAAATACCAAAATTAGCCAGGCATGGCAGCACACACCTGTAATACCAGCTACTTGGGAGGCTGAGGCAGGAGAATCACTTGAACCCGGGAGGTGGAGGTTGCAGTGAGCCAAGATAGTGCCATTGCACTCTAGTCTGGGCAACAAGATTGAAACTCCACCTCAAAATAAAAAACAAAACAAAACAAAACAAAATGTAAGCTGTTTGGAAGCTATTTGATACGTAAAATGCTGTACAAACACTGGAATTTATTTTCTCTGGCCTCTTTCTAAAATTCAAATAGCAGCCTGCAATTCCAATCCCATCGCAACTAAAAAAATAGGGTTTTTTGCAGTGTGCTCTTTAAGCTTGCATTAGAATGCAATTCTTTTTAAGAATAAGTTGCATCTAAACACTGCACTCAAATGTGTTTCTGAAAGGACTGATATTATTGGTTGCCTTGAGGAGCAGAACTGGGTGGGTGGTGGTCAGAGGTCATAGGGAATATTTTTCTTTGCACCTTTTGTTCTTTTGGATTTTGAATCATGAAACTGCAGTGTTCAAAAAGTAGATGCAATTAAAATTTTTAAAAAAGAAAATTTGGATTTCCAGTATCTTCCTTCTTGTTCAGCCAGAATGTGGCCCGCCATCAGAGTAGACGTGGGGACTATTTAGAAGTAACGTAGTGTCACACAGGTGATCTGTAAATACTCAGTGCCAGATTCCACGTTTAGGGAGTGTATATTGTCTTTTTTTAATAACCATAATGATTTCGGTCTGTTATGACAATCGGAATTAAACAAAAAAAGATTAACCTCTAATTATCTTCTATCTCTAGCAAGATTGTCTCGACCATTTACTGGTCAACTTAAGAATGGAAGCGCTCTTTGTGAAGGAGAATTTTAATATTCGATGGGCCGCCCAAACAGGATTTGTGGAAAACATCAACAATATCCTCAAGGAGTACAAACAAAGCAGAGGACTAATGGTAACCATCATTGTTTCCCATTGAAACTTCTGATTCAAGCAAAGTAAATCAAACTTCCAGTGTGATTATGCCAGTGGAACCATTTGCTTTTTCAAATGTTCTAATTTCAAGTTGTTTTTCACATTTGACAAATTTGTCCAGGTCTAACACATTTACATGTATATTAAGTAAATACTTGTCAACCAAACATGAACAGTTTTAAAGTTGACATAGATGATGTATGCAAATTGCACATAACAGGAAGCTCAAGAGTGATGTCACAGTTTTGTCCATATAAGGAAGAATATTAAATAAGGAAAAATATCAAGTGCCTTCCTGGCTTGCTTGTTTCAGTCCTGGGTATACATGTGGGAGGTAGAAGAAGCCTGATTACTACTTTGATCTCTTTCTAACTGGTCAGGAGACCCACTGGTCATTTAATCATCACAACTTTTCAAGGTAGATATTCTTTTTTAAGAATTAATTAATTGGCCAGTCGAGGTGGCTCACGCCTGTAACCCCAGCACTTTGAGAGGCCAAGGCAGGTGGATCACTTGAAGTCAGGAGTTCGAGACCAGCCCGGCCAACATGGTGAAACTCCATCTCTACTAAAAATGCAAAAATTAGCTGGGCGTGGTGGCATGCACCTGTAGTCCCAGCTACTTGGGAGGCTAAGGCAGGAGAATTGCTTGAATCCGGGAGGTGGAGGTTGCAGTGGGCCAAGATTGCACCACTGCACTCTAGCCTGGGTGATAGAGCAAGACTCATTCTAAAATAAATAAATTAATTAAAAGAATTAATTAAATGAAATTGACAAATGGAAATTACATACGTGTATCCTGTACAACATAATGTTTTGAAATATGTAGACATTGAGGAATGGCTAAATTGAGCTAATTAAGATCTGTGTTAACTCACACCCTTATCATTTTTTATGGTGAGAGATAGATATTCTTGTCTCCATAGTATAGATGAGGAAACTAAGGCTCAGAGACATGAAGCAAATTTTTATTTTGTTTTACTTTATTTTTTGAGACAGAGTCTCACTCTGTTACCCAGGCTGGAGTGCAGTGGTGTGATTTCGGCTCACTGCAACCTCCACCTCCTGGGATCAAGCAATTCTTGTGCCTCAGCCTCCCGAGCAGTACCTGAGATTACAGGCATGAACTACCACACCCGGCTAATTTTTGTAACTTTAGTAGAGACGGGGTTTCACCATTTGGGCCAGGCTGAGCTGTTCCTGACACATCTTCTTATGTGGTCCTATTTCCCAGCCTTAGATCAGCCCATGTAGGTGGTGCTTATTGAATACCTACTGAATGAATGGACATGAAACAGAACATTAACTGTCTGACCAGAGAGCAGACACTTTCAGGATGACATGGCAGCCGCCATGGTGGTGGTGGCAGGGTTAGAGGCAGTGACTCTGGAGTCTCCACAGAAGACTGAGAGTTAGCCTGCAGGGTCCAGAAACTTTGTTTTAAAAGGGCACTCCTGGCCGGGTATGGTGGCTCATGGCTGTAATCCCAGCACTTTGGGAAGCCGAGACAGGGAGATTACTTGAGGCCAGGAGTTTAAGACCAGCCTGGCCAACATGGTGAAACCCTGTCTCTACAAAAGATACAAAAATTAGCTGGGCATGGTGATGCGCACATGTAGTCTCAGCTACTCAGGAGACTGAGTTAGAGAATCACTTGAACCTGGAAGGCGGAGGTTGAGGTTGCAGTAAGCGAGATTGTGCCACTGCACTCCAGACTGAGCAACAGAGTGAGACTCTGTCTCAAAAAAAAAGCACTCCTCTGAAATAAAAAGCCACTCTGTCTAGCTACAGGTCATTCAGAGCTTGCTGTATGTTCCTTACTCTCTCCTCTTTCAGCCAATCAAGATCTGCATTCTCGGTCCCCCCGCCGTGGGAAAATCCAGCATTGCTGAAGAATTGTCCAAGTACTACAAACTGCATCACATCCAACTGAAGGATGTCATCTCCGAAGCCATAGCAAAACTGGTAACACTTTTAACTACTTTTCTGGGCATTTTAATTAATTACTTTATCATTCTTGGGGTGAAAAAATGTATATTAGAATTAACCAGCCAGATGCAGTTTAGATGATCCCAATTTTGTTGGCAATATCCAAGGCATCTTAATCAGTAGCCAAGGGATCGTCTGCCTTCTCTTCCCCCTCAGGCCCGAGCATAGTGTTGACCTTGGCTGCATCAGCATCAGAGGGCTTTTTCACAGCCTGCTGGGTGTGGCACTTGCTGGCTTTGGCGTCCGAAATGAACACCAGTGTGTGTTTGTCTCCTGTCTTCTTCATGGCCAACTCAGGGGTCGGGGAAGTTAGTTGATGATGGCAGAGTGGTCCTGCTAGTTTCTCCTGAGGACACTCTTCAGAGGATGTCCTGGGACACTGGAAGGTGGATGACGTGCAGCTCTTCTTTTCTTTGTGGCTGTGGACACCTTTCAGCACTGCCTTCTTAAGCTTCAAAGCTTTTGCTTCGGCTTTGGCTTGGGGAAGAACAGGAGCCTCCTTCATTACCTTCAGCACCATCTTCTAAAATGGCTTCTTTTTGAGACAGAGTCTGCTCTATTGCCTAGACTGGAGTGCAGTGGTACTATCACATCTCACTGCAACCTCCGCTTCCCGGGTTCAAGCAATTCTCCTGCCTCAGCCTCCCGAATAGCTGGGATTATGGGCGCGTGCCACCATGCCTGGCTAATTTTTGTATTTTTAGTAGAGATGGGGTTTCACAATGTTGGCCATGCTGGTCTTGAACTCCTGAGCTTAGGTGATCCGCCTGCCTCGGCCTCCCAAAGTGCTGGGATTACAAGCATGAGCCACCACGTCCTTCCTGAAATGGCTTCTAACTACTTTATTGGGAATTTTAACATTTTAGAAATGCTTTTCTTAGTTTTGTAATAAACAAGCAACTAATTTTATATGTCAGTAAACAAGAGATTTGTTACCAGTTATGAAAGCACAAAACTCTACAGGGCTTTTCTCTGAGATGGAAGCAGTTTCCATGGGTTGCCCTTGAAATTTAGTCTGCCTCTAGCTGTGGTTCAAAGTATATGTTGTGTTCTCTCTGTTGCCTGGAACATTTTTGGGTTTTTTATTCTTGTTGTATGTTTCTCAGGGTATCATCAGACTATTTATTTATGAACTGCTTATTATCATTTTATTGGAAATGGCAGATACTGAGGAAGTTTTCATCAATGATTATTAACAGACTTAATTTCTACATGTGGTTCCTTCAAGTAAGATACAATCCAATATTGCAGAATAATGCATTAGAAAAGTGTTGGCTCCAGCAGTTCTGGCATTAGCACAAAAATATACTATTCTCTTAAATATAGTGTTAAGAAAAACCTCAAGGCTCTCACGTGTCTTTTTGGATATGCACATCCTGCAAAATTTTGCATGACAGCTGTCATAGGGTACATGCCCTATTTGGGTCCCAGGCTTTTTCTGGGATTACCTGCCAGCTGATTTGTGAGTAGCAAATCAATGCAGGGCATCGTCCAATGTGAATATCCCTGTGGCATGCAGGAGGCGATTGTTGCACCTAAGGATGTAGGGGATGTAGGGGAAGGAGAAGAAGAAGGCGAAGAGGAAGAGGAAGAGGAAGAGGAGAATGTGGAAGACGCACAGGAGCTCCTAGATGGCATCAGGGAGAGCATGGAGCAGAATGCAGGTAATGCACACGCAGCAGATAGCCATGCTGTTCTTGCAAACGGTGGCTATTTTTTAAAATCTGGTGATAAAGACTGTTTATAAAAAGGAAAAAAAAAAGACTATTTATTATTATTAAGAGTAAAGTACAGGCAGATACCATGACTCATGCCTGTAATCCCAGCACTTTGGAAGTCCGAGGTGGGAGGTTCTTTTGAGCCCAGGAGTTTGAGACCAGCCTGAGCACCATGGTGAAACCCCATCCCTACAAAAAAAAAAAAAAAAAATATATATATATATATATATATACATACACATATATATGTATATATATGTATGTATTGCCAGGGGCAATGGCTTATGCCTGTAATCCCAGCACTTTGGGAGGCCAAGGCGGGTGGATCACCTGAGATCAGGAGTTCCAGACCAGCCTAGCCAACATTGTGAAACCCGGTCTCTACTAAAAATACAAAAAATTAGCTGGTCCTCATGGCACACACCTGTAGTCCCAGCCACTCAGGAGGCTGAGGGAGGAGAATTGCTTGAAACTGGAAGGCAGAAGTTGCAGTGAGCCAAGATTGCACCACTGTGCTGCAGCCTGGGCAACAAGAGCAAAACTCTGTCTCAAAAAAAAAATTTTTTTTTGCTAGGCATGGTGGCACGTGCCTATAGTCCCAGCTATTTGGAGGATGAGGCAGGAGGATCACTTGAGCCTGGGAGGCCAAAGCTGCAGTAAGCCATGATTGTGCCACTGCACTCCAGCCTGGGTGACAGAGTGAGATCCTGTCTCAAAAGAAAGAAAGAAAAAAGTAAAGTACAGAAATTATAACAAAAAAATTCATCCACAATCTCATTGTTAACATTTCGGTGATGACCTGATGGTAGGATGGGAAAGAACTTCCTAACTTGAAAAGAAAAAAATCGGCCAGGTACAAGGGCTCACATCTATAATCCCAGCGCTTTCGGAGGCCAAAGCAGGCAGGGACAGAAGTTTGACACCAGCCTGGTCAACATGGTGAAACCCATCTCTACAAAAAATACAAAAATTAGCCAGACATGGCGTGTGCCTGTAATCCCAGCTACTTGGGAGTCTGAGACAGCAGAATCGCTTGAACCAGGAGGTGGAGGTTGCAGTGAGCCTAGATCGTGCCACTGCACTCCAGCCTGGGTGACAAAGAGAAACTCTGTCTCAAAAAAAGAAAAAAGAAAAGAAAAAAATCACACGTGTGTTCATAAATCACTGGAACCCAGGAAGCAATGGTTGCAGTGAGCCGAGATCACACCATTGCACTCCAGCCTGGGTGGCAGAGTGAAACTGTATCTCAAAAATAAATAAATAAATAAATAAAAATAAACTTTGTCAGTTAAAAAGACAACCAGTCAGTTGGTTGTCCTTTTAATTGGACAAGCCAAGAAAAAGAATTGCCACTGGCATAATAAATCAATATCCTTAATATATAAAACATTCAGGCAAATTGATGACAGTTATGAAATCCTTAAAAAAAAATGGATGAATGTAATGGACCAATAAGTAATGCAGAAAGATGTATAAATAAATGGAAAATTTTTCTTACTCATCTAGTAATTAATTGTAACCAGTTTGTTGAACAAAGTAATCACAGTAAGCTGTCGCTTTGAACTCAAACTGGATTCATTGTTTCCCTTGGATAGAATTTCAGGCTGGTTCCATTGCAACTCTTAGAGAGTGAGTGAGGAGGCCCTTTGTTTATTCCTACTTTAGGAAATCTGTTCCTGTCAAATAATTACAAACTGGGTTTTGAACTGAGAGGTCTCTAAGGGACCTTACTACTCGCAGGAAAGCAGTCAGTAGCAGTTATTAGAAAACTAAGACCATTTCATGTTTACACTTGGACAGCTGAGATCCTCCGTCAACCTGGCTATTGCAGGATTGCTTCTGCCTCATCTAACGCTGCTTCTCCGCTTGCCATCTTCTCAACCACTTTTATAGTCTCTTCTCTTCCTTCCTCCTCCCCTCTTACTGGTGGCCATTTCAGATCCTCCAGGGACCAAGGACAGGGGAGAAGGACAGAGAAGGATGTGGCCAGCTTGGATGTAAATTGGCACTGGGTGACAGATGGCATGCTCACTGCTCCTTCGTCATCTCTCAGGGGCTCTTGAGATTCTCCCACTGAGAACTGCCCACCGTGTCCTGGGGGCACGGCTCTTGACTGCCTCATGGCCATCATTGATCTTCTGGCGCTCCACTCCTTTGCCCCAGAGGCTGTCTTCTTTCGAGCTACTCACCTCCACCTGGGTTGGGGACCTGTTTCCCTCTTCTAATTTCATCCGATTCCCTACCAGGTGTCCACGTCGCTCACGTTCCACTCAGAGAGCCCACAACTGTCTGGGGCTATTTGCCGGTGGCCAGCTTGAGGAGAGTTTGCTCTGGTCCCTGGTACCTGGTTCCTTATGTCTGTCACTGCCCACTTCCATCAAGATCTCTAGCCCCCCACCACTTTCCTTGAAGGCCAGGTTAGTCCCGAACCTCTTCTCCTCCTTCTCCTGTCCAGACCAATCTGGTTTTCTGGGATGGAGGAGGTGGTTTTGCATGCAAACACCAAGTGTCCACTGAAAGCAGAGTCTTGGTTTCTGCTTTGTTGTTAGCTGCACCAGAAGGAAATGGAATCTAGAATTTTAGCGAGATTTCCCAGAGGGAAAGGAGTACACAGATGAATCCTTGGGGATATAACATTGCCTGTGCCTCCCCATAAGACCTTTGGGGATCACTGTTTTGCCTTTAGGGAGTCTAAAAGAGTGGAGTTGGGCACAGTGGCTCATGCCATATTCCCAATACTTTGAGAGGCCAAGGTGGGCAGATTGCTTGACGCCAGCCTGGGCAATATAGCAAGACCCTCCATCTCTACAAAAAAAGTCTAACAGAGTCCTGATGCTCACCTTCTGGGTGAGGTGGGAAAAAAAAGCAAGATAAAATGCTCCATTGTGAGGCCATCTGTGGAAGGAAGTCTGTCAAGGCCACATTGAGGGGTGGGGGACTGGAAGTTTTAGGAATCCAGAGAGCACATGGCCATGTATAAGTAAAGCTTACAGCTGGGGTATAAGGCTAGAAACGGAGTGGCAGGAGCAAGGAACTATGCCACCCCCTAAGGAGAGACAAGAATGTCTGATAATCAGGATAACAGGACTTGGCAAACAGTGAACTTTATTTATTTATTTACTTATTTTTGAGATGGAGTCTCATACTGTTACTCAGTCTGGAGTACAGTGGTACAATCTCAGCTCACTGCAACCTCCTCCTCCCGGCTGCAAGCAATTCTTGGCCTTCCGAGAGTAGCTGGGATTATAGGCATGCACCACCACACCTGGCTACTTTTTTGTATTTTTAGTAGAGATGGGGTTTCACCATGTTGGCCAGGCTGGTCTCGAACTCCTGGCCTCAAGTGATCTGCTTGCCTTGGTCTCCCAAAGTGCTGGGATTACAGGCACCCACCACCACACCTGGCTAATTTTTTGTATCTTTAGTAGAGATGGATTTTCACCATGTTGGCAAGGCTGGTCTCTAATTCCTGACCCCATGATCTGCCCGCCTCAGCCTCCCAAAGTGCTGAGATTACAGGCATGAGCCACCTTGTCCAGCAAAGCTAACTTAAGTCTTTAGAACAGCTCCTCTCCCACATGTGACTCCCCCATCCCCACCACTTCCCACAAGATTGGAATCATTCAATTCCTTTTAAGTGTAGGAAGGTAAGTTCTTCTTTCTCAAGTGTATTCAAAAATCCCTCCTATCTATATTTACCTGAAATGAAAACATGGACCTTGGCCATGTTTGAACAAAACAAAACCTTTGAACCCATGGCACTGACGTTAGCTCGCTTTTCCCTCACAAGCCTGCATTTGTTATCACATGACTCTAATGATTCTAGCAAAACTAGTTTCCCAGTCCCACAGTGAGGCCCCTCTGTGTCCTAACTCCATTCCCATTGGCCCCTGATGGAGCAGCAAAATAAGGGCTTTGTTACACCATGAGTGGGCTAATTACAGATTTTGTGCTCACTTTATATATTTCAAAAGCATTGTGAAATTACTGGATCTAGTTGGTAGGATTCCTGGTGATCATTGGACTAGTCTTTCCATTTTTCTGTGAGTTTGAAAATAAAAAGGGGAAGAAAAGCCTGTAAATGTCCAAACGTGTTAGTATCTCTACATGGGTCATTGTAAAATCTTGGCTTGCAGCTATCTATTTTTTTTTTTTAAAACAAAGTGCATATTATTACTGTAAAGGCAAAGTCTCTTAAAACAGTTAACCATGGCACCGAAGTCTAGTCAGAACCATTACCCATGAATTAACGTTGCGTTCTTTTCTGTCATTGAGACTCACTGTTTCCCATACCATCTTCCACAAGACTCTACTAAACAAGAGGATGAAGAATGCACTTGAAAGTCACCAAGCATGGCTTGACCACTTACTTAGATCCTGACTTAAGACCAATCACTTCCTCTCTCTGAACCTGTTTCATCCTGTGTTTTAAAAATAATAATAATAAGAGAAAAGAGAGGAAAAGATAGAATAAATCCACCAGCTTGGAGGATTAAATGAGGGAAACATAGTGATAACCAAGAGAACATGAATGAAATTGCTCTATAAACTCTAAAAACTTACACAAAGTACAGTATCACTAATACCAGGGAAGGGTAGGAATCACCCCTGAACAGTCTGAGCCTGTGGAAGCCTGGACATGGCTGGGTGACAGTCACTGAGAATCTGAGTCCTGGAGCAGTGTTACCAGAAAGGGGGTCTCATCCTAGATCCCAAGGGCAGGTTCTTGGATCTCGCACAGGAAAAAATTGAGGGTGAGCCGCAGAGTATAGTGAAGTTAAGATAGTCTGTTAGAGACTACTCTGTTACAGAGCAGGGTGTCCTCAGAAAACAAGAGAAGGAACACCCCACAGTGAGAAGAGGTAGTTTATTGAAAGCTACTGCATCACAGAGTAGGGCCTCTTCAGAAAGCAAGAGGGGGAAAGCCGTACTTTATACATAGTGCC